GCTTTTATCTTTCCATGTCTCAGACAGCCTTTATAATTTTTGAGAGAGTAGCTATCTGGCTGTCTTATACATTCACAGATGGCATTGTTTTATCTGTCCTCATACCATCTGCAGCATCAGCTTAGTCTATTTCCATTGGTGTCATCTTTCATTTATGCACAAGTGAGTTATTAAAGTAAAACTTTATATTTGTGTAGCATTTTGGGTAAACGTTAGGATAAGACATTGATTTATTTTATCACAACAAGCTTACGCATAGAAAATTTAATTTTTTATATTTTCACCTCATCTTGATTTACTTTATATGTAGCCTTTGGCATTAAATTGAATTGAATTAAACAACTAGTTATTGAGCATGTATCATGATCCCAGAACTATGAGAATGAAGAATTGTTCCCTGTTCTCACTGAGCTTACTGTCTAGTGGAAGAGACAATGCAGAACTAATATACAGTTATGAGTTCCACCAAGGAAAGAAAACAGAGAGGGATATGAAAAGGGACGTCAAAGGATTAAATCTAGTCTAGTAAGTCTCGAAAGCCCTTTCAGAGGAAGGATGAGTAGAAGTTTGCCAAACAGAGTAGAAGCAGGTAGATGGTAAGAAAGGGGACAAGAGTCTTCAAGGCAGAGTGAGTAGCAAATGAGAACACCCTGATGTCAGAGAACTTGGAGTGACCCAGGTATTGGAAGGAGTTCAGTCTGACTGCAACTTAGAGTGAATTTAATAAAGTGACAGGTGATCTGAGGTGAGACTCGTGAGGTGATCAGGGATCAAATGTCTTATGAGTCAGTTAAGGATTCTGGATTTGAATCTAAGATTAATTCCAAGTCATTGATATGAGCTTAAAGTAGAGGTATGGCATGAACAGATTTGGGTTCTAGGAAGACCTCTCAGGCTACAGTCTGGAGAATAGATGGGAAAAAGGGACAGAAGTGCATGTGGGGAGGAAAGTGAGGAGGCTGTTTTAGTAGTCTTGTGAGAAATGATTTTTACTTAGACTAGTATAGTGGCAGCAGACATCGAAAGAAAGTGAATAGATTTAAGAGGCCGCCCACTGAGAATGGAGAAACCAGTTTGTGTGTCTACGAAGCTCTGGCTTGTTCTACTTTGTTGTGTTAAACCAAATGCCTGTTCTGCATAATGGAGGATGAGCCAGAGGAAAATGGAGCAAAAATGAGACCTGAAGTTAGTATCCGTATTGTGAATGGTCATGACCTTACAGGATAGTTACACGGAAAACAAAGGTAAAATCACACAACTAATTGCAAAACACTCATCTAGGCAGGATTGTGATGTAAGGTTTCATCATCAGATCAGACCTTCACATCAGTGTGTGTGGTATCAATAGGACTTTGATAGACAAAAGGGTATTCAGTAGCTGATGTCCTCATTTCTCCGCAAATGTCAGTTAATTCTTTGATTTGCTTGCGTGTTTGTTCATTGATTAAAAAAAAAATTTACCAAAGTCCCATTATCCACTGGATATCAGACATCTCAAACTTAACAATGCAGTCTTTAATACCACATATGGCCAGTGTATACCTAGTGTATTTGATATGTATACA